TGCCAGGATGGTTTTTCTGCTTTTAATGTAGAGTTTCACTCTTGCTCAGGCTGGTCTCAAACTTCTGAGCTCAAGCGATCCACTCAAGCAAGCCTCCTAGAGTGGTAAGATTATAGGTCTGTGCCACCATGCCAGGCCAGGAATTAAATATTTTTTAAATTTCCCAGATTTAATTTATGATGTAATACAATTATAGGTAGAATACACATAAACAAAAGCTCTTAGGGTTGTTAATAATTTTTAAGAACATTAAGTGATACTGAGACCAAAACGTTTGAGAAAAACATTAAAACACGTTTATAACTTTTATGTTAATTTGATTATAGGGAATTGATCCATTTTCCTTAGACACTCTTGCAAAACATGGAATAGTAGCTCTTCGCAGAGCAAAAAGGAGAAATATGGAAAGGTAAACTTGCAGATAATCTGTATCCTAAGTTTTTTAGCAGAGTAAATTGAAATTATCTCATGTGTATTCCTTTTAGCTATATGTAAGTATTGTTGAGGTAAATAATAGTATAGTAATTTCAGTAAGTAATTGAACTGCAGTAAGTAATTGAACTGTTACAAATAAAGATTGTTAATTTGAGAACTTTGTTGGAGTACAAGGAAGGTTCTCATCTTAAAACAGATTTTAAGGGGTGGCACCTGTGGCTCAGTGAGTAGGGCGCCAGACCCATATACCGAGGGTGGCTGGTTCAAACCCAGCCCTGCCAAACTGTAAAAAAACAAAACAAAAAACCAAAAAAAAAAAAACCCAGATTTTAAAACAATATAGCAATACAGTATCATATGATCTCACTTATATGTGAAATCTAAAAAATTGAATTTACTTAAGGGCTAGAGTGTTGCTCAAAGGATACAAAATTTTAGTTAGAAGGAATAAGTTCAAGAGTTCCATTGTACAACATGACAACCATAGTTTTTTTTCTTTTTTAATTAAATCATAGCTGTGTACATTAATGCGATCATGGGGTACAATGTGCTGGTTTTATATACAATTTGAAATATTTTCATCAAACTGGTTAATGTAGCCTTCATGGCATTGTGTTAAGACATTTATATTCTACATTTAGTAAATTTCACATGTACCCTTGTAAGATGCACCGTAGGTATGGTCCTACCAATTACCCTTCCTCTACCCATCCTCCCCCCTCCCCTCCCTTTCCCCTTCTTCTTGGGCTATAATTGGGTTATAGCTTTTTGGTTTCATAGTAGGGCTGAGTACATTGTACAACATGACAACTATAGTTAATAACAATATTAACTATAGTTGATACATATTCTTGAAAAAGTTGATTGTATTCTTGAAAAAATGCTAAAAGAATAGATTTTAAGTCTTCTCACCAATAAAATGACAATTATGTGTGGTAATGCATATGTTAGTTAGCTTGATTTAGCCATTCCACAATGTGTACATATAAGTATACACTATGAGCATATACAATTTTATTTGTCAATAAAAGTAATCTTCAAACAGTGCAATAAAGTTATAATAGTTTTCTGCATTAGATATCTTTCCACCTTTAAGAAATTAGTATTTATGTTTTCCAGAACTAAAGCTATGGTGACATATATCTAATTTCAGACTCTCTCTGGCTTGTGGTGGAATACCTGTGAATTCGCTTGAAGATCTCCATATAGATTGTTTGGGACATGCTGATCTTGTATATGAGTATACATTAGTGAGTATTTCTGTGAATAATGGTTATAAAGTGAACACGGAATTTTTAAAAAGTAATTGCTAGATCTTTTAATTTTTTTGAGTTCTGACAGTGTACAGGATAGATTTTACAATTTATTTACCTAAATATTTGTTAAGAGTTCAAATATAACTTTACTTTAAAACATATTTTTAGTTATATTTGATAAGAATTCATATGAAAGCTTGGCGCTTGTGGCTCAAGCAGCTAAGGCACCAGCCACATATACCTAAGGTGGCGGGTTCAAATCCAGCCCAGGCCTGCCAAACAACAATGACGGCTACAACCAAAAAATAGCCAGGCATTGTGGTGGGTGCCTGTA